CGATGGCCTGACAGAGCTGGATCTCCCCCAGCCTGTGGTGTGGACCTCTGTGCTCTCCAGGAGAAACCTAGCACCCTATTCCATAATATTCCTTTTCTGCTATCATTATTTTAACAAAATATTAACTTTAAAAATATTTATATCATCTGTAAGTGGTTGTACAAAGGAGTTGCCATTCAACAGAGCAGTTTATGAACACAGTGATCAGGATCACCCATCCCTCCTACCCACCTTCCCTGGTTCTTAATTCTGTAGGATGTACTTTGAATTCTTTTTATTGCCATTTAACAAAGCAGTTTATGAATACAATGCATGCTGATCTGTCACCCCTTCAAATTTCTACCCCCTTTCGACCCGCACTCCATCCTTGGTTTTTCTTCATTCTGTGGTATATATGATGAATTCTTGACTACCTACTTGTCAGACAAAGATCTGTGACACTACAACACATTTCTACTGTATGGTATAAATTTGCAATAGCTTTATGGCAATCAGCTCTGAAAAAGAGACTCTTACAGTTTACTGTGGAACTGTACGTGAAAATTCAGGTTTATAATTATACTTGATAGAATGACTTTGATTTCTCTCAATGATGATGATGCTTACCTCCCCCTCCACCCCTCACCCAAGAGACCAGAGTTCATGAAGTAGAGGATTCCCTGCACCAGGGACTTCCACACACCGGATCATTGACTAGATGAGAAATAGAGTGTTTGCATTATGTTTGGTTGCTTGCCTACTCATTCAACATTTGTAAGTCAAATCAATACACATGAGGCTCTATTGTATTTATAGAAAGAAAAACTCGTGTACTCCATTCCACGGGATCTGGATACTATAGAAAGCTATTACACTTACCTCATTCACCCGAGACTGGAGCATAGCAAATCTTCCCGCCTCTGGTTGTCTGCCTGACACTTAGTACTCTGTCCCCTGCCTGTCTCTTCCCAGCCTCAGATACCACACGATATTAAAATGACAAGAACTATGCATGCAGACATACTGGTGACTTCAGGTTACCAAATGGTCCAGGATCCATGGAGCTTATGGTTAAATACCCCACTTGTTTATAGCCTGGACTCCTGAGGTTATGTAGTTTGTTTATGGCCAAAAGACAAAATAAATCCAATGAGTGTGACTCCATGCCTCCCGCTGGTCCTGCACAACCCGAATTCACAACTTCGTGCTCACGCAGAGGGCCCGCGTGATTCATGAATGCAGCTTCCTGGAAACCGTCCTAACGGAATTTACTGGAGGCTTTCAACTTTGTGGTCCGAAATGAGAAGTTTAACCAGGCTATCAGTTGATGCATTTCCTTGGCTCTTTTTCTCAAAGCAAGGCTGGAAAGCTTTATGACCCTGTGTGCTCAGCCTGGCGCGATTTAAACAAACAAGGCTCCCCTGACAGGAGAAGAGTTGCCTTGGTTTTTCCCGTGGCCGTTTGTCTTGGGCTGGCTGCTGTGTACTCATTTCTAATCCGGGAGGCACCAGCAAAGTCGCTTACCGCACAAGCGTGGTTATATTTTAAGGTACATTCCCGTATCCCCTGAGGTGTCTGCCATATGCCCTGTGTCTAGCTCTGGTTCACACACCCTCTGCACCTTCCGTTTACCCCTCATCCCAAACGTCCTCCATTCCTGGTTGTTCTCATGACAACTACTACACCATGTCCTTACCGACCCCCTATGCCAGGGTTGCGTGCTGCTGACCTCAGCGTGATGAGACACTTGAAAATACAGCAGAGAATGAGGACTTCTCCGGGCTGGCTCAGGGATTCAGCCCATCCTGTGGGGGAGGGCAGTGCCCTGCAGCCTAGGCTAGGAAGCAGGGGCCAGCACGCCTGTGTCCGCTGGCTTTCTCCTTCGTCTCCGGGGCAGGTGTCTGACATGCATCTGAGGAAGTTTACTTACTACACTTGCACAGAAGCCTGATCAGTGGCTGAGCCTTCCCCACGCAGGCTGTTGAGCTTTGTAGTGAGGGCCTCATTGTCAAACCGAGCCTGAAATTGAGCCCAGAGACCGATCTGGGTCGATGCCAGACACAGACTCTTCAGAGTCAAGGAGATTTGTAGGAGCAGGGCCATCAGCCCCTCCACCGCACCCCTCCTGCCCCCGTTTTCATCGTCTGTGCTGTCTGGGGTGTGGGCATCATAGGAAACTCCGCTGGCTGAAGGTTTGGGCTGTTGATCTTCAGATCTTCAGTGAGGATTTTGTCACCTGGCTCTCAGGACACGCTGATCTTCAGGCTTCTAGAACGTGTTACCATAGACGAATCCTCTGAGCCAAATCTGTTCCCCTTCTCCGATCTCTCTCTCTCCCTCCCTCCCTCCTTCCCTCCCTCTTCCTCTCTCTCTCTCTCTCTCTCTCTCTCTCTCTCTCTCCATAAAGTTTGATGAGTGCTCTGTCCTTCACATTCCTGTTTCCTTAGTCTGAAAAACGGTGATAACAAAAATACCCATGGCTACATATTTCTGTGAAGTTAGTTATTTTACACGAGGAAAAGAGGGTGGAACACTGGAGCAGAAAAATGGCTCAGGCATGGGAAGGAAGGCATTAGGCCCCGCTACAGTTGGTTGACACTGGGCGCTTCTATGTTACTCCTGAGGAACATAAAGAGTCCTTGAGTTCCCAGGATGCGAACATCCCATACAGGAAATAGATGGGGGCGGGCGGGGGCAGGGGGGCGCAGGGTAGTCATTCTTTGAATCCTTCCCTGCGCTTCACTTGACTGCATTAGATTCAGGAGTCCAGGGCCAGGAAGCAGAGCTCTGCCTGGATTGTTTCCAGCTCCCTCCACAAAGCTGAGGGAAAGCTCTGCTAAGCCTCATGCATTTTATGTCTGCCCGAGGACATATGCTGCTCATTGGTCTCAGGGTTAAGGAGTCTCAGCAAGTTTTTGATACAGACACTAAAACATTCTCTTCATAGTTTCCTGTCACCGAAAGATGCCCAGGGGAGACAGCTGCACCTAAGTGCCTGCAAGGCCCAGACTGTGGGAGGCATCTGGGTGCAGGGATGATGGACAGTGTGGACCTGCAGCTGCCCAGATGCCCAGAGACAGCATATGCATCTGTGTGTGTGCGTCTCTGTGTCTGTGTTTGTGTCTGTGTGTGTGTGTGTGTGTGTGTTTATGAACATGACACATATATGAAATGGAGGCAAAACTTAAACTAGGAAGCACAGATGTGGGTGGGCTTCAGGGTTTCTTACGTTGGTGAGACAATGCAAACCAAGTGTCATCTTCATCCTCACCATGAAATGGTTTGATCTGCAGGACAAAATCCAGCACCCTGTGAATGATGGGGGGTGCAAAGACACGAACCTGAGGGAAAAGCAATGCCAGGCCTACGATTCCCAGACCCAGAGCTTGATCGCTTCACCCCAAACACAGTTTTAAAGAGAAATCTCAAGCATGGTCTGTTCCCTGGACTTGGAATGCTCCCGGCCCGTAGTGTTTATTCCAGGACCCTGCATGTACATGGGGTACCTAATGCTGCCAAAAAGGAAATCCTGCGCTTGCTCGTAGACCTCTCTTGGGGTTGTTTTCTAGAAAATATATTTTCTTTAGCTTTCTCATGCCTACTCTTCTGTGGGGAATATACTATCTTGACGACATTTTACCTGCCCACTCATTTGTGATTCTCAGTATCGATGTTTTCCTAAATCCTTACTTTCCTTCAATCTGAGCCATACAAAGTACATATAATTCTACTAAATGGAATCATTCTAAGTATCTAGCATTTATTCCTAAAACTAGAATAACAATATAGCTATTTTTATTCTATATTTCCAGCCCTATTCTAGCAGGAGTAGAACTCAGCTCCTCTCTTTTTTCTTTCTCTCTCTTCTTCCTTCCCGCTTTCTCTTCTCCCGTCTCTTTCTCTTTCTCTCATCAGATTATAGTGTAACAATAGATTTAGAAGTGAATAAAGATATCATTCTGATTCTAATAATGAAATATGTGAGGTTTCTTCTTTTAAAGGCCTTCAGGAAATATTAACTAATATTTAAATGGATTTGTTACCCAATCTTTCGAGAAAATAAAGAAGTAGACATCTGAGTTAACTTTGTGTTTCCTAAGTAGAGAGAGAAAATCACATTTCTAAGCAAGTTCTTGCCCTCCTGGCACAGGACAATATGGTGCTAGGTGCTAAAGCAGTAGATTCAAAATACAAAAAAAAAAAAGTGAGCCTTATTTGAATAAATGACTGAGTTGTTGTTCTTCAGCCTGATGACAGGGCGCCACCTACTGTATAGAAACTCTATTTTATGCTTGGGAATTCTTCCATGGAAACTGGTTCAACAGAATTGGGTTGCAGTCTGTTACTGCTTAACATTTATACCTGGATCTACTTAAATTTTTCTCTGAGTGTGTGTGTGTGTGTGTGTGTGTGTGTGTGTGTGTGTGTGTGCATGTGTGTGCGCTACTTAAATTTTTCTCTGAAAGTGTGTGTGGTTTCAGTCTGCTCATTCATATGGAGTAAATAATCCATGAGTGAAGGAATGGAGGATAAAAAGAATGCAAACATGAAAAACACTATAAAAACGTCAGATATTCCTTGTTGGTATCTACTGCTGTAGGAAGTAAATGATGCGTCTACATGTCAGGGTGCGAGGGGAAGCAGAGGGGATCAGTAAGTGGGGAGGGAAGCGGGCAGAGGGAGAGATGAGTGTGTGAGGGGCTGTTTCTATCATGGAACTATTCAATAGCCGAGTTGCTGAGAGAACTATGAAAGAATTGCACAGAATGGGTTGGGTGTGTCTTCTAAGACACAGGCAGTGCCCAGGTTAGAAAGGCGGTCTGTTGGGAAGGCTTGCAGGCGGGGAGACCCCCGGCCCGCTGCAGTCTAGAGGACTTCTAGGGGTCGTATTTCCTAGAAAAAGGACCCTGCAGGGGAACCTTTATGGATCGTAGCTAGGACACATGACTCCGCTGGGCTCCCGCAGCTGGCGCTATAGTGGAGAGTGGCCTTTATCTGTCCCGCTGTTCTTATGTCCCCAGAAGACTGGCACGCGCAGCTGCAGCCCCTCATCCTTGCCCTGAAGGACTGCATGGGCGAAGTGGTGAGCCGGGCCAAGCAGTCCCTGACGTTCGTGCTGCTCCAGGAGCTCGCCTACAGCCTGCCCCAGTGTCTGATGCTGACCCTGCGCCGGGACGCCGTCTTCAGCCAGGCGGTAGGTGCCCGCGGCCTTCTGTTGAGCACAGTACTGAATCCTTAGCACCGTGGCCTTCACGGACGTAGACTTCTCTTGTCCGCGTTACTTTGAAAGAGCTCCCTTCCATCACAGGTTGGGAGCTGGTTTTGCTGGCTCAGGAGATGAACAGCACCTGTAGGACACAGTTCATGAAATATCAAGGAATTCTTTCCCCACAGAGGCCATCCAGTGTACCCAGCATGCGTGCGTCTTGCTGCACTGGATGTAGAGTAGGTGAAGGACCAGCAAACCCACGTGTGTGCGGTGCCCAGGGTCTGCCTGCCATCAGGGATGGGACAGCACCCTCCACCGCAGGGGACAGGCCTGTGGGATCTGACGGGACCGTCTTCTCTGTCTACCCTCCCCACATGCTCCACCCAGGACTCCCTGTCACAGGGCTGTGTGTCGTTTGCTTTGTCCCCTCTGGTGTCTACCTCCCTGGCTGAGCTTTGCAGACAGAGCACTTGGAGTCAAGGAGACTGAATGCCTCCCCTTTCCAAACCACCCTGTGAACAGTAACTTGTGGGGATGATATCACTGTGTGATAATGATCTGAAACTACTCCATACACTTGTGCACTTTCATTATTATAAATGGGAATTACGAGATTTAAAAACCAGAGCCCAAGATGCCTGCCCTTAACTCATTACGACACTGACTTCCCAGCCTTTTATACACAGCCTTGCTACAGCAAAAAGGATCCACTTTCTTTAGTCCACACGTACAGATTACAGTAGCTTTGTGCCATGCATCTGAGATTATTTTTGAATGGAGTTGGTGATGAATCAAAGGTCTTTAAGTCCCTCAGAGGTTGGGCTCACAAATTCACATTTATGATCCCAGTCCATTTCTTCAGTGATTTTCTTTTCTTTTTGTTGGTTTGTTTGATGCAGCTTGCTGGATTAGTTTGTGGTTTTATCATCAAATTATACACCAGTTGGCATGATCCTGACTTCCTGCGGCTGCTGTCCACGGTGGGGCTGGTCGTGCAGTACGAAGGCCTGCTGAGCACGCACAGTGAGTATCTCTCCCTCGCTGCATCTTCACGCCGCGCTCCTCACCACACCGCGCACTTCGGTTTCCAGAGAAGCGTTGAAATGAGAGGTTTACTGTTGGGCCATGGAGTTTTGCACTCACTCACCTTGTACCTTGCTTTTGCCTTGAATTAGGTTTTGAAAATGGAATTATGCATCATTTCAAAGCCACCATCTGGTTTTGGATTAAATATATAAAGAACGCTTTGCCAACATGGTTTCAAGGAATGGATTTTAAAGTCTGAACACATTAATGTCCACACCAGCCCTGTTCAATGTGGGAGCCTCGTGTGCATGTGGTGTAGTAGAAATGTGGTGTCTAATCCAAACCAGTACATTCTAGACACATACACCAGATTAGAAGAAGAATTTTATAGTGCTTATAAGTGAATTTATCTTAATTTACATCTGAAATAGCATTTTGAATTCATTGGGTTATGTATACTACTAAACTTTACCTTTATAATCTTGCTCTCTTAAAGGTAGGACCACTAGAAAAATCTGAAAATTATACGCATCACTTTTGAGCAGGGCTGATCTAGAAATGTCCTTAATTTCCCCATTGTCTGGCTCTAGTGACTGTGTATGATCTAGAATGATCTTGACTATCATTATGCCTCTTGTCTACAAAAAGATATCTTTCTGGAAAGACATCCCTGTTACTAATTTTAAAAAAAGATGTCTGCAATGTGTTAAAAAGGGTGAAAAGTCTCTCTCCAGCATCTGAGAAAAAGTATAGACTCTTCATCTGTCAAAGGGTGCCTGGGCTTCCAGAGACCATCCGAACGGTTCTGATTTCACTGATGGGAAGCCCCAGCCTGTGAGAGCAAGGGAGTCCAGTGTGACTCCGCTGCATCCAGAAACTCACCCGCTGAAATGCTAGAGCAGATGCCAGCGGGGACTGGCGGGATTCCCTGGTCACTGTGTCCTTTAATAGTCTGCAACGAGGCATTTTCCCCTGGCTTAGGTGATGAACTCGGAATGCTGGAAGACATGGCTGTTGGCATTTCAGACCTGAAGAAGGTTGCATTTAAAATCATTGAAGGCCACTCCAACGATGTTTTGCCAGTTATCACAGGAAGACGGTGAGTCAGACCCGCTTCCTAAAAACCCAGAATTTGTAGACATGTTACATCTGTTCACAGCAAAGGAACTTCAGACACAGGTTCAGTTGCAGGACTTATTTTGGTAGGAAACAAATATAGGTGATAGGAAAGAGAAGGTCTTATAAAACTTCTAGAAGTTTCCTAAATATTTGTATATTATAAATGGGACTGTTACCTTGTGATATATGCAAAATTTGGAAGAATAAGTTGTTCAAGATATGTTGTATTCATAAACTGCTGTGTTAAATGGTTATTCTTTTGGACAACTACTTAAAAATAATAAAAAAATATAAAAAAGAATCTGAAGACAAAGGACAAAAAAAGCATGTTTGAAAAGATCATTTTTCTTTTTATTACTGTCTGGTCTAAAGCTTGGATGTTTTCCTTTTGCGGGAATCGTTCAGTTAATAGCTTCATAATTCTTGAGATGACTTTAAATTAAACTCAGTTAAAAGCAGTAACGTTTTAGGAAAGATATATTCCTATATTAGGGCTGAACACCACCATTTTTCTTAATTATTTTTGACAATTCACTCTTAGATTGTGAGATTTCCGAGAAAGGTTTTAAATAAATAGCTCAAAGGTCAGTAGAGGATGGGCAAAATACCAGAAACAATGTCAAGAATTCCATGTATATCCTAGAAAATTAAGAAGAGCAAAGGAGTGGTTTGGGAGGGATGGGGGAGAATGTTGAAGGGGTCACACTGATCAAGATGCATGGTGTTCATAACCTGCTCTGTTAAGTGGCAATTCCTTTGTACAACTACTTAAAGATAACACAAAAATAAGTTTTAAAAAAAAAGAAGAACGATTGGGTGTCAAAGAGACCCCTGATAGAACATATCCTATAATAAGTTGTTGAATTCAACCAGAAGTTTTCCAACCTTCAGCTATTGTGGTGTGACCACTTTTAGGGGTTGAATGAGGTGGTTTAAATTTGGAAACATCCTCAGTTCTTAGTGAAAACATGAGAACCTACGAAGAGCACTAGCACTTTGCATGCTGGGAAAAGATAGAGAAATGAAGTTCAAAAAATGATTCAGTGTGAACTTGTTTTCGGAATTGTGGTTGACATTTAATGGTCACCTTAAATTTTGTACAGGGATGGCTTATAGCCACATGGCTCAAACAAAGATGACGTTTTCCTATATCCTCATGAAACTACATGTGTCACCTGGAAATTAATGTTTTCTTTGCTAGTTGTTGGAAGAAAAAGGAATAACACTGGTCACCTGGAAAACAACACAATTCTGGATATTACAGTGAAGTTTATAATAAAAAGAGCCTATAGTGATAGTTCTCTTACAGTTTCTTAGGAGACTTTGGAGGCCACCTGGTACAAACCAAGCACTTGCTGTTTTGTGTGGGGAAATTCCTTTAACTTCAACTAAATTCAAAAGATGAAGCGGGATTCCTAGAATAATGGAGTAGGAGACTTGACAAATCCACTCTCCAAGAACCAATATTGTATCTGGAAAATTCATCTAACTCAACCACCTTAGGAGTCAGGAGCTAAAGCAAATGCAGACGATAAATGTAGCGGGTCACAGGAAAAGTCAGAGAGTCGGGTGGCAGTGGGAATATGTGCCGTTCTTGCTGAATCCTGTGGCACCTGCTTGGTTTGAATGTGTTGTTTAATATGAATGGGAAAAGCCCATTGATTCAGGCTGGAGAACACTCCTGAAAACTGTCAGGACAGTGGTGACTTACATAATAATTGCATTCATGATGGCATCAGTAAGAATAAAGAGAAATGATCTTAAAAATTGGGTTGAAAGCCAGGTGCTGGTGGCTCACACCTGTAATCCTAGCTACTCAGGAGGCTGAGATCTGAGGATCATGGTTCAAAGCCAGCCTGGGCTGTGATACTCTTATCTCCAGTAAATCACCAGAAAACCGGAAGTGGCTCTGTGGCTCAAGTGGTAGAGCTCACATTGAGCTGTAGAGCTAAGGGACAGCACCCAAGCCCAGAGATCAAGCCCCACAGTCAACCAAAAAACAAAAAAAAAATGGGTTGAACATTGGACACAGAACACATCATTGCTGACAAAAATTAATCAGATCCAGTGAGCAGACTGGATCTATTGTTCATAGATTGGGAGAATCAATGTGTAAGATGCAAATTCTCCACAAATATATCTAGAGATTATGTAATTACTATTTAAATCTTAGTCATCTTTGTTTTCATTTTGTAGAAATTGTTGGATTACACCTAATTTTTTAATGTAAACGAAAAGCATCATCCCCTCCAAGTTTTAAAATGAGTACAAGGTTGGAGAACTTAGCCCTCTTGTTTGAAAACTTATAATGAACTTACATACATATATAGAATTTAAAGGCCAGAAATAAACTACTATCTTTAGCTATAATTTTACTCAAAGGTGCCTTTGCAATTTAACAAGAAGTACAGATTTCAAAATGCAGTAGCCATTGGTTGCCTATATACAAAACTTGGAATTTCAACCCTTTACACCATTTGCAAAAATTAGCCCAGGTCTCAACGTAAGGGCTAAAAATTGAGAAAATTTTAGGACCAAATATTTGCAAGTTGAGTTAATGAATTCTTTTCAAATTTTCAAACCTTAAAAAGAATCTATAAATAGTTACATGGAGGAGTTAGAATTTAAGATGCTGTTTATGTGCCCAGCGTTTCTTGATCGGTGTCACCCTTCCATTATTCTCCCTTCCCCTCCCCCTTCTCCACCAGTCACATGAAGTTTCCCACCTCCTCTTTCACATACGCACACTGAGTAACCAAACTGTATTTGTACCTGATCCTCACCTCCCACTTCTCCCTCCCCATTCAAAATACTCCCTGATATTGATTTGTGGAGCTGTCTGCTTACACCGTGGAGTTTTACTCAGTAAACATACTTTAGACAGCTTCCTCACGTATATGCATATATGATGCTGTATGTATTTACCGAGGATATTGTATTTGGATTTTATGGTTCTCATAGGAAAGGACATGTACTCTTTGTCTTTCTGGCCTAGCTTACTTGACTCTGTATGTTTTGTTACAGATCTGTCCATTTTCCTGCAAATGACATAGTTTTAGTGTTCCTGATAGCTGAATAAAATTCCATTATATATTACATGTATACTATGTATATAATAAATATACATATAGTATATATATTACATGCGTACTATATATAGTGTATATATAAAGCATGTTTATATATAGCAGTTTATGTATAGTTACATACATAGTGTATGTAACTGAGGAATGAGACTTGAGTGAATGGACAATAGGAAGGAAGCATGTACTTAAGCTAGTGTTCTGTTCAGCTTTTTTCTGTTTGTATTGTAATGAATCTCACAGAAGCCAAGGCAAATGAAGTAGGTGACGCTGCTGCTTCTCTGTGCTTCTCTCCCCCAGGGAACACTACGTGGTGGAAGTCAAGCTTCCGGCTGCCATGTTTGAGTCGCTGCCGCTCCAGATCAAGGAAGGGCAGCTGCTTCGCGTGCATCCAGTACTTTTCAACGTGGGCATCAACGAGCAGCAAACCCTCGCCGAGAGGTGGGCTTCGGGTGGAATCTGTGCCTAAAATAGCCTAGTTAAATAGCTGCGTGGCATCATTTGACTATGTGTTTTTAGAAGGCTTGCTCAGCCAAACAACTAACAGTTGTATGTGATGCCATGATTCCCTATCAGAACACTGTTTTGAGCAAAGAATTTAAGCCTTCATCTTGCGTAGTTCTCAGGTAGGAATGCTAGAAAACTTGTATAATGGTTAAAGTTCATAGAACACACTTGTAGAGAACCAAGATATTATAGGCACATTTGTGAAAGTTTAATAGAATGCTTTCTTGTCTACCAGTCATGTTTCTATGTCTCCTTCCCCAGAGGGTAACAGTTTTAAATTGCCTGTGCCTGGCTATTGCTTGCTAAATACATTTTAGCTTTTTACTAAATCCTCTACTATAAAGATAGTCCTCCTGAATTTGATGATACTCATAATGCCTCTTTCATCTACTATTTTCAAACTATTTCTTTTTCTCTCCCTCTTACTCAAAAGATATTTCCTGAACAACACAGATTTTAATCATTCTCAATTTCCAGTTAAAGTAGATGGTACAGCTTTGTGCTACATGTTGAATTTCAAAGTGTGTGGAAGTTACTCCTCTCTCATTTCATAATATGCATAAATCTAATCTTAATCAATGTATTGTACAAAAAGTTTTCTTCAATAATTAAATACTTTCAATAGCAATAATCAGATTCCAGTGGTCGATTTAGCATGAGGAATCACGTTCTTGACTATAATGAGAGACTTTAGGAAAAAAAAAAAACAGATCCCCTATACTAAAAGGCACATTAGAGCACAGAGCATTTGTGGTTTTCGTGAATAAGTTAGGGCTGTGAGTTTGGCCTTGGCAGAGATGTGAGAGTCTTCCATTTAGACTTTATAAAGGCTAGTTCACATTTCCAGAGACAATTAATTTATAGATTGTGAAATTTTCTATCACTCACATCATCATGGCTGTTTCATTTATCAGTCATTTCATTTAAGAAGTATTTCTTGGGCTGAGTATAGTGTCACACACTTGTAATCCCAGCTATGCAAGAGAAAGGGATGAGAGAATTATGTTTAGAACCTCTGTCAAAGAAAATGTATTAGTGAGACCATATCTCAGTAATGGGCATAGTGTTTTCCTGTTATCCCAGTTATGTGGGAGGGAGGGAGGAGGATCAAGGTCTGAGGCTAGGCAGGCCCAGAAAAATAGTGAGCAACTCTCTCTGAAGAATAAAGCAGAAAGATCTGGAGGCAAAGCCCAAGTGATGATAAGAATCCTTCCCAAGTGCAGGGTCCTGGTTCAGGCTCTAGTAGAACAGTTACAGCCATAATAAAAGAAAGAAAGATAGGGAGGCAGGCAGGCAGGCAGGAAGGAAAGAAGGAAGGAAGGAAGGAAGGAAGGAAGGAAGGAAGGAAGGAAGGAAGGAAGGAAGGAAGGAAGGAAGGAAGGAAGGAAGGAAGGAAAAGAAAGAAGGTAGAGGAGGAAGGAGAAAGGAAGAAAAAAGTTCCTTCCTTACCTTCCATCTCCTCTTGCAAGTTAAAACAATATCACTCCTGCTTTTACTGTATTTGATGTTGGTATAATTTGTGGAGGAGAAGGGCAAAAACAAATCGTTTAAATAGGGATACAGGTGGACCCATTGCAACAATGAGATGTACAAATCATTATGTCGAAAAACAAACTTTACAACTTTGGTGGTGGGGGGGAGATGGGAAGGGTTAGGAAGGGGAGACAAAGGAGGAAGCAACAATGCTTGATAAGAAATGTACTCATTATCTTGCCCATGTCATTGTAACCCCTCTGTACGGTATTTTCACAATTAAAAAAAATCCTTTTTTCCTCCTCCTTTGTAACCTGAAAGCTGTATAATACACACAGACTTTGAAAGAAGACAAAAAAAAATCGCCTAGCAGGGATAAGCACTGCTGAGCAGGAAAGCAAATTTGTATAGCTTTCTGACATTAACTATGGATTTGAACAAAATCACTTCCTTTCTCTTCTGTGATTCTCTTTTTTTTTCTAACTCAGAACTTTGGTCTTCCTCAGACAGTGTCTGCATGTCTGCACGTTAAGTATATTGCATGAATCCAGTTATAATATTTGGTTTCATAAGTATCCCAAACACATCATTCACGGGGAGTGGGGGGGGCGCTTCCGTGTATGGATTTTGTGAGGATTCAAGCCTTAATCCATAGCACTGATGTTACGAATCAAGTCAGTTGCTTATAGTCTGCAAACGTTAGGGGGTATATTTTCAGAGTCTAGGGCAGGAACTATATTACTTCTCTCCAAGTTCAGCGTAGACTTTGAGCCTTGGGGACACAGGAACTGCCCTTGTAAGCTCTGGGACACAGAACAAGAACGTGAACCATGATTGATGCCATGTAAGGACCACGTCCACTAAGGAGCGAGTTCATACCAACCATCACTGCAGTGTGCCTGGCTCACTCAATAATAGGGAAGAAACAGGAATGGAGCAGGAAGGACAGTGTTGGGATAGAGCTGAGCTCTTGGGGAAGGGCTGATAGAAGAGGCAAGCCTTTCACTGGCCTGAAGGAGGGACAGGAAGAAATCAAACCACGAGGAGGACAAGCTGTTCCAGTCCTCTGACCGTTCTTGTTATTCCATTTCTGAAAAGTCTCAGAGTTGTTAAAATACTACTGGTAAGGAGAAAGGGTGGACCTGCATTTCCTCAAGTCTGTGTGGAGGCCTTTGTGATGTTTTAGAGGCTGAGGTAATGGAGCAGGCCTTTATCGGGAGAGGATGAGCTCTCAGGTCAGTGGGCTGGCGTGATGAAATGTGTGTTAGGCTAATTTCCAACATTTTATTCATCGCACGGTGCATTGCCTGAGTGATAGTCAATAAATAGTTGCTGAATGAGTTAATGATCTGAGCATTTTGTAAAGGATGGAGTGGGAAGGAGAGAGGCGGGAGGCGTAGTACTTGGGCACTTGGCAGGCTGTAGGAGAGTAGTTGCATATATATTATAGTAGTAAAGAAGATAGAAAGGAGAGGTAACAGATGTTTGGCAAGCTCAGCGGAGAGTGGATAAGGTTGAGACCCCAATGTGCCGTGTGGATTTTGAACTTGCGTTCGTGACAGAATGTGGGGTCAGGGCTTTGAAAGCATCAATAGGTGAGGAGTTGGTGTTCGTTTTTGATGGTATTACATTTGAGGTAGGAGAACTCACACTGAAATTCTAGAACTATGGGTGTGCACGGAGGAATGCTCACAGCATTCTTTTTTTTTTAAAAGTAGAGGTAGACTCTTAAGTTTGAAACAGAAATTCACAAAGAGAAGACAAGTTCAGAAAAATGGAAGAAAAAGAATTCTCTCAGAGAAGACGTAGGAAAGCACTGGTAACAGCCGATGGCCTTGGTGGATGGGAAGTAAATGTCAACAAAGGTGAGCTAGTCTCCAGAAGGCTGTGCACGTGGCTGGAGCAGCTGACACTGTGTGTGGAAGGAGCTCTCTCCAGTGCCCATCTTCTGGACCTCTTCTAAGCTGTCGGAGGAAGGAGGAAGACTGAACAAGGGAGTTTCCTTTGCAGAGGACAGGCTAGGTTAAACAAACTAGCAATAGCTGAATATCAATCATGCGTGGACAAAAGGAGTATTGTTTTCCATCTGGTCTTTCAGCTAAGTCCACGTTGGATGATATAACACTATTTTGGTGCCATCAAAAGCAGTCGATCAAATCAGATATGTTTGCAATCACCCGTATCAATACTGTCTAAAATAATGAGACTTTTCCTTAGGAAGCACTTGCCGGTTGCTTCACAAGGAAAGTTAGAAAGTGTTACTTTTTCTTCAAAATATATGACACACAACTACTTTCCTTTTTTTTCTTTCTGTTTTTAGGTTTGGTGATGTCTCTTTGCAAGAAAACATTAATCAGGAAAATTTTGAGCTTTTAAAAGACTATTATACAATATTTATGGAAAAGATGCCTCCTGACTGTAAGTATATTCGTTACAGAACACATTAACACTAATTTATTATAAATCTTCAGGAAAGGGTTAAAAAAAAGAGGCCAATGATGAGAGGAGCAGAGAAGGGGTCTGGGAGTGAGGCTGAGGTGATGTGAACCATTGCTAAAGTGAACATGGTGAGCACTTGCTTCTGACCTTGAGTGAACTCTTGAACCTGTCCTGCTACTCATGCTGGGACATTAACCCCAGGGCCAGTGGAAAATACCAACGGTTGACAATATCATCATTAGCAATGGCCGTCCACTTCAACTGTCACTTCTATAATGCTTCACAATGTTGAACGCCTTAATAACTATTGTATTCTACTACTTGTAGACGTCATATGTCACACACATGTAAGTAGAAAATCAGAACAAATAGGAGTTTTACAATGTAACATTAATATCAATGAATGAAAAAAGTGTTGAATATACTTAGTACAGAACTTATACATCAAGTGCTTTGCGCTGAGACTCTGTTCTGCTGTTGTTCAGTTTTATTTTATTTATTTATTTTTTGTCGGTCGTGGGGCTTGAACTCTGAGCCTGGGCGCTGTCCCTGCGCTCTTCAGCTCCAGGTGAGCACTCTGCCACTTGAGCCACAGTGCCACTTCCTATTGTTCAGTTTTATGGTTCTTTTCTACCTTACTAAGTGCATAGCATTTCTGAGTTCCCAAACCAGAGAATCAGGAATGCATTTACAGTAAATCCATAAATGGTATAAGTATGCTGAGGCATCCTGATATTCACTATGATAAGAAAATAAGTTTTAATAAAATAAGAACTATTTTAAACCCAAATCCATGACCAAAGTTGAGCTGTCTTTTAACAAAGCCCAGTTTGTTTACTCATTTACATTCTGATACAGGTTTGAAATATCTTATGTGATGGAGTATTTACATCTTTTAATAACACAGTGAGTGTTGGTTCAAACAGTACAGTAACATATAAATGCCTGTCATCAGAGAGAATTTGACTTGCTAGATTTTGCATTATGATTTTTACATTATTTCACTTCACATCAACTATTTTGCCTGTATTGAAATTAAGCGTATGGAAATTCTTTGGTAGCCAATATACTTTGAATTGCATATTTGTTAATTATAAAAAAAAGTCAAATTATTGCTTTCAATAATTTGAAGATGACTGTGAATTGAATACTGATGAGTTACATTTTTTAAAGAAGTTCCTTGTAACTAGAAAACGACTCTCAGCATTTCTACCAACGACATGATTTCTACCAACACTGGTTTTTAGAAAATACAATCAGTCTCCACAGTATCTGCTCAACATTAATTGATTGTCTGGAGTGCCCAGGCCCCGATGCAGATGGGAACAGCGTGCTCTGTGTCTGTGCGCACAGGCTTGCACGTGATTCCCGATTCACACTGTCCTGCAACCATTGCTATGCCATCCACATACCAAATATGTATTACAAAGCAGGTTTGTGGCAATCTGCAGAGGATTTTAAGACTGTTCTATAAAAGTCATGAAAAAGAAATATTGTAGAATTTTTTGAACTATCACTTGAGACACAAAACAAAGAATAAGTCTATATTCAGGTAACTTAAACATTTCCTAAGAACAAGTACTAAGAAAATTTAAGAACATAAAGGCTATCACATTCCCGGTTAAATATAGCTGTCTGTCTGTCTGTCTGTCTGTCTGTGGAGGTTTGCTGGTAGGATCTCTTGCAGATGACTGCAGGTTACATTGCATGTAACCTTTGCATCATCTACTGTCTAAAATCTCCTCTACTTATAAAACTTCGTTCAACCTAGATGCTATGTGAAATGGTATTGCTTATAGGGAATAATGATACACAGAAGATACAATCATTTTCTGAGTATTTTTGGTCTATGTTTGTTTGAATCACACATGTGGAATTCCATATGTATGGAGAACTGACTCTACACAAGTATTTTTTTTTAGAAATTTACACATATATATTCACTTTTTTGTGCAAATAGGACAGTCTTTTGAATCCCACCAATTACATTTCATTAGTTAGGGTAATATCTTAACATATTGGACTTTCCATACTTTATTTCCTAGACTTTTGAGACAAAATTACCTTGGATTTTCAGCAGAATGGAGCTATGGTATGCTGGCTAACACATTGTATAATTAAACACAAATCCAGCTTGTAAAATGAATTTGTATACGTGGGGATATATCACATGGAGAAATATTGTAACCCAAAACATGACTTGGGTTACATTCTGCCGTGGGGTGGGAAGATATACAGAGCGTGAATAGAAGCTAAGCTACCTGCTGAAGAGGAAGAAACTGCCATGTTAGCTCATATCTAAGATACATAAAGTCTTATTTTTCTTTCACAGCAAAATCAAGGGATAGATTTTGTATCAGTAACAAAGAGTATGTTAGTTCTCTTAACGATAATTTCACTTATTAATCCACTATGGTTAGTCTGCCTATTAATTTACTAACTCAGCTTTAAAATATGTTATAAAAATGTTATAGACGAAATAATGGAATATTACATTGTTTGGTCATTAAAAACTAATGATTTATTTTCAGCTTAAAGGATACCTCTTACTTTTTCTTTACTGACAAATGTTCACCCATTCTAGACTCTCCACTTACTACCAAATCTTATTTACTCCTCTTATGTAGAAATGTTTAGAATATTCTCTAATTCCATTTTATAGGCAGTCAGTTTAGTTGGTAGTCTTAATTCAGCAGTCTCCAGACACGCTAGAGCCTTCTGTTAGGAAATGTGATCACATGACTGAGTTAGTAAGAGTTAATGACTGTCAGCAACAGCCCAGGCTATGCTCAATATAACCTACAGATTCACAGACTGTGAATCTCAATGCGATTGGAATAGTCTGCTGAACTCAGATAGTATTACCTTCCTCCCCATCTTCTTTCAGTTGCACAATGGGCATTGGCAGAAGGCTTGGGAGGGTAGAGTGGCTTGGGTATCTTTCCCTGGAGTTTCCATGGCACCCGGTGCTGGGCTGGGCCAGGCCCACTACAGAGACACAGGAGAGTGCAGACATCCCAGCAAGGGGCCTCATCTGGAGCAGATGGCAGGCATCTGGAAGTGAGACCCTATGTCAGAGCAGTTGATGGCCGATCCATCCGTGTGTTGTATATTTCTCCCTCCAGATTTTCTTTCCACGGTTATGCAGCTCTCAGGTTATTGCCCCCCTCCCTGACTCTGAGGCACGGGCGCTACTTCGCCTCAGGCTGGGGCTGTGATGTTCACTGGCCCCTTTGATCAGCCAGGGAAATCCCACGAGGCAGGTATTAGTTCTTCTCCTTCTTCCTCTGATCTCCCCATTGGGTTTGATGATCTCAGACATCTTTCATCTCCTCTTTCTTACCTCCCTAAAGCATTAAGACACTTAACTTTGGCATTAGGAGTAAAATAAAATAAAAAGCACCCCTGTAAATAATTAGCACAAAAGGCGGAAGCCCTGTTACATCTCTGGTAGATTTCAGGAGCTTGGTGCAGGTGAGACAGGTGAATTTATCGCATCCAAGCTCACAGTTGTCTCTCTAATTATGATGCCTGCATCTTTCCTCTTTATCCAAACAAAGGAGACATCTGTTGTCCCCCAGGTTTGCTGAAATTCTGTCACTGACTGACTCCGTTCTTTGCACAGCAAGGCGGGGCTAGGTAGGATTGTGAGCGAAGACAGAAAAGAAGGCAGAATTTTTTTAAACCAGGTCTAAACTATTTCTGCAAATTGTTGGCATCCTTGTGAAACATGTAGTCTCTCATCTAGCAAAGGATTAGGAATTGTATGCAGAACCTTTCTTTGCCAAGGCAAAAAAAAAATCTTAGGTTTTAATGATAGTAGAATATTGTGTTTTTGTGGTGAATGTGCAACATTGGCTGGAAGCTCACATTTGGTGTGGCAGACACGGGTGGAGATGGTCTTATGTGGAAAGCTTACCAGTCAACTATGGATTATGAAGAACAGATCACCGCCCCTCAGAGCTTGCGGTTGAATGGCTCAGTGTGATGGCGGGGTAATCAGCTTTAACTCTGAGCTTCTTCCCAGAGGAAGACCTGCTGTTTTGGAGTATCAGTCTTTCTTTCTAAATAATTCAGTTTTATTGCCTTTCTGTTCTTTGTCAAAGAGTTTTACCTTCTCCTTGATTGTACCTGATGCCCCATCTAGTGATGTATTGTCATGGATTTTATTTCTGCACTAGGAAAAATAAAACATCCTAAGTATCCATGCTAGCTACAAAAAAAATAGAATAGAAAAATAGAACAAGACTCCCAATATTTTATGAATAATAATTTTTGACAAATTATTTGAATACTTTTTCTGTGGAGTTCTACAGGAAATGAGAAAACAACTATTTGTAAGTTCATAGGAAGGCGTACTAAAGGACCCATAAAATAAAGCATTAAGAAACCAGTAAGACATACAAGAAATCAAGGGAAGGTGAGCAAGAATGTCAAATGTGTTCATGATGGAAGAGTGTGGAAGAAGACAGTAGATCCGGTGCTTATGAATCATTTGACAACATTTACTGTAGTCGTTTTAGTAAAAAGCATGACAGGAAACTACAGGCATTTAGGCAGTGTTGGGCTCGCCATCCTTCTAGTGCCTTGGAGTTACCATTGCCTGTTAGCATGTGTTTCACTACAAGCAGATGAGAGCACCAGCGAGCAGAGCATAAACCAGCCCCTGGGATGCACTGGGTAATATGTCGGAGGGGGCTGCCCTGCATTCCCTGGGGCCCCTGCCATGTACTTCTGGTCCCTGCTTGTCCTTAGAAACAAACACAGTTCAAGAGGGTCTGCAAATGACTGCACTTGTAAATGAAATGAGGCACATGTATCAAAGGACATGAACACACCTTCACACACCAACATGTACAGCAACACATGTGCACACCAACACACACACATATATATCAACACACACATGTTAACTACAGGTCTTCCAGGAATTTGAGCATTTCTGATTAGCAAGGAGACTTCTGATTAACTATGTCCTA